AACTTACCAAAAAGACATTAACGGTCAAATGACAAAAGCAAATTTTGCAGACCGGCGGTTTCCTAGGTGCTTTACTCGGACCAGTCCTCGGTGTGCTTAAAGGTGTCTTGGGATTTTAAGGATGGCCAGGAAAATGCTTTTAATGGATCCTCGTATATTAGAGTCTATGCAACAAAAAACCTACGTACCACCCGACACACTCAACGATAGTCTACGCCTTTTGGATATGCAAATGGAACATATCTTAAATAGGGAAGATTTGTCACCACACGACAAAGTGAAACAATATCAAAAGACACTACAACTCTACACGACGCGACTTAGCGATTATAGAAACAAGTCCCTAGGATTAGTCGAGGTGAAACCACCCACCGTGAATACCCCAACGACCGAGGTTAAAAAACCACAAGAAAATATAACCGATCCTAAAAAAGAAACGATAGACATAACAGAATCTGAAACTAAAACGAAATCCGTCTCGCCTGACTCTGAAATTCGCCCCTCGGAGAAATCGAAGACACACGTAGAAAAAGCTCCACCCTCGAAACGTACCAGAAGTAATAAAACTAAAACAAGCATTACCAAATGGGACGAGTGGGAAAAAACCAAACACTAACAAGACATTACTATGATCCTAGTAGACCAGGTGCCTACGGCTGTGTGTTTACGCACCCTGAAATTGGAACTAAGAAAATTAAAGAATGGTTAAGTCATCAGGATACCTACACGTTACATAAACCTCTTCGGCGACGCTTTCAGATGCGCGCCACCATCACCGGTGGGATAAATCAGCAGTTTCAAGCGGATCTCATAGATATGCGCATGTTACGAAAACACAATGGTCGTGCTTTTTACCTACTGACCTGCATCGATGTGTTTAGCAAATTCGCTTGGGCGATTCCGATAAAGAAAAAAACGGGTAAGGCTCTCATGGAGGCCGTACGTAAAATATTTACGACTAGAAAACCTATAAATTTTCAAACAGACAAAGGTAGTGAATTTGTCAACAAGACATTTTTAAAATTTCTTAAAGATGAAGGCGTTCATTTCTTTACCACTGAGAATAAAGAGATATTAAGGCGGCTATAGTTGAGAGATTCAATTGAACATTAAAAGAAAAAATGTAGCGGTACTTTACAAAAACAAATCGTCTTCGTTACATCGATGTCGTAGACGACTTGATCACCAACTATAACTACTCGTACCATAGGAGTATTCGTATGGCCCCTGTGAATGTTAATTTGTCTAATCAAGAAAGGGTCTGGAATACTTTATACGAGCCAGGGGACATTACTTATCGAAAAGTATTTAACGAAGGTGATCGTGTACGGATCGGCCAAAGCCGAAACACATTTAAAAAGGGTTATACCCCTTCGTGGACGGAAGAACTGTTTACGTTCAGCCGCGTGAACGCGACAACGCCTGTAATGTATGTGTGACGTGGCCTAGATGTTCATAACGAAAGCGTGTAGGCACGGAGAGATAGGGTGTGAGAGTGGCCTCCCCTGACAAGTGTGTAAGCGGTGTGTGGTATGGTCAGCAGAGCGTAACCTGAGTTTGTTTGAAGAAGTAGTTTTTTTTTAGTTGAAGGATCTGTGTTTTCTCGGTGTACTTGAAAGATTATATTTTATTGTGATAAATGAACGTTGGACTTTGTTTTTAATTGTGTTATGGCTAGTTCCCAACATTAAATAGCACACTGACCATAACAAGTGGGGGCCTGTCCGGGATTTGAACACAACAAGATGTTTGACAAGTTTTTACCCCTAGACCAGGGATCTCCAAAGTACGGCCCGCGGGCCGGATGCGGCCCGTAAGGTCATCTCATCCGGCCGGCGGAGATAATTTTTTCCATGGAAAAACTGTTTGTTGGTGATGGCTGAGGAACTTTACCCAGAAAAATCAAAGACATGCCTGGAAGAAACTGGCCCCTGAACTGAAATTTGATAGTCAATGCGGCCCTCGGACTGAAAAGTTTGGAGACCCCTGCCCTAGACAAAAAGGAAAATATCGAGTATCAACAGCAGCGTGACGACCGACTAGAAACTTTCTAGTATTAACGGCATCGTTACAGCCGACTAGTTAACATCTAGTATTAACGGCATCGTTACAGCCGACTGGAAAGTGTCTAGTATCAACGGCAGCGTCACAACCGGCTGGAAAATTTCTAGTATCAACGGCAGTGTCACAACCGACGGGAACATTTCTAGTATTAACGGCATCGTTACAGCCAACTAGAAAATATCTAGTATTAACGGCAGCGTTACAGCTGACTAGAAAATGTCTCGTATCAACGGCAGCGTTACAGCCGACTAGAAAAAAATCTAGTATTAACGGCAGCAGTCATCGCCGACCGGAAAAGACTTAGTATCAACAGCCAAAAAACTTGTGAACAGTGCTGCAGACATCATGGCCATAAATAATGAAATTGAAAATACAGTGATAAAACTAGGAGAGAAGTTGAGGGAACTTGCTAGCTACAAAGTGGACTACATTAGCATAGCAAGTAAGTTATCAAATTTTAGAGCTACAATATTAGCATCTCAGTCCTTGATCACATCATAAGCAAATCATTGCGTCGCCACCAACATGAAAGCTCTAGCTACTGTCCCACTTGCAGAAGACCTAGTCAACCAGACACGCCATCTAGGCAACAAGTCAACAGAGTGGAGAACTAGGTCAAGGGCAGCTGAGCAGAAGGTAACATTAATCCAGAATCAAGTTAATAGTCTTTTCAAAGATACTAATGAGACTTTAATCATAGTTAAAGACTGTGATGTCAAGATAGCAGGATCGAAACAAAAATGTTTTGACTCCAGAGCCAGAGCTGAGCAGAAGAGCCAGAGCCAATGCCAGAGCCAGTGCCAGAGCCAGTGCCAGAGCCAGTGCCAGAGCCAGTGCCAGAGCCAGTGCCAGAGCCAGTGCCAGAGCCAGTGCCAGAGCCAAAGTCAGAGCCAGAGCCCGTGCCAGAGCCAGTGCCAGAGCCCGTGCCAGAGCCCGTGCCAGAGCCCGTGCCAGAGCCAGTGCCAGAGCCAAAACCAAAGCCAGAGCCGGAGCCAAAACCAGAGCCAGAGCCAAAACCAGAGCCAGAGCCGAAACCAGAGCCAGAGCCAAAACCAGAGCCAGAGCCGAAACCAAAGCCAAAGCCAAAGAGAGATCCAGATCGACATCCAGAGCCAAAGACTGTACCAAAATTAGAGTGGTGTACGAACTTGTATTATCTGAACAGCTTCTAGTTTTCATTATGTCATCATTGACTAGGTTTATTTCAATATATCTCACTTCATAAAACGAAAGGAAAGTAACATTGTTCTGATGTCTTGTGATTCAATTCAAATGCTTTATTAATGACAAATGTTTTTAAAAACCTTGTTGACTTATAGACTAGACGTATAAAGCTATAAGTAGTTAATTCATGCGTACGTCCAACATTTTATTGTAGAGATATAATTTTTTTACCCGCCATCATTTATTTATAGGGAGATTTAAAGCATGTAAAAGGTCAGATAAATATTGTATTAAAATTTTTACTGTACATGTTAAGCAGTTGTGCAGGATAGACCTTAGAAATGCTGTTTAATTTAAGGAAGAATAAGAAACCTCTTTTTTTAGGGGGGAGGTGTGACGTGGCCTAGATGTTCATAACGAAAGCGTGTAGGCACGGAGAGATTGGGTGTGAGAGTGGCCTCCCCTGACAAGTGTGTAAGCGGTGTGTGGTATCGTCAGCAGAGCGTAACCTGAGTTTGTTTGAAGAAGTAGTTTTTTTTTAGTTGAAGGATCTGTGTTTTCTCGGTGTACTTGAAAGATTATATTTTATTGTGATAAATGAACGTTGGACTTTGTTTTTAATTGTGTTATGGCTAGTTCCCAACATTAAATAGCACACTGACCATAACAGTACGTCTTGAAAGATGATTCGGGTGAAGAAGTGAAAGGCTCGTTTTACAAAGAGGAGCTTCAGAAAGTAGGGGACAAAAAAGTGTACCGCGTGGAACAAATTATACAAGAAAGAAAGGGTGTCGGTGGTAAAGAGTATTTAGTCAAGTGGTTTGGTTATAACCCTTCATTCAACAGTTGGATTTCAGCTAGAGACATTTCGTAATATAAAGACTAAGGATGGAGGAAACGGTAAAAAGCCTAAGTCTGGATGAGCCCGTGGTGGAAGAAACACTCAGACCGTTCGGTGGGATCGAGGTGAGATTTTAACGATTATGGTCAAAAAGTTCGGATCGTAGTAAAAAAAAAATATTTTTAATTTATTTTTTATAGAAACATGCAAAAGCAGTTACATTTTTTTCCCGGCTAGCATTGATCTCGCCACAGGAGGCGAAATGGCTGAAGAGGGAGCTAATCGAGCCTGAATGATGTATGGTGCTGTTCTATCATTGGTGTTTGCTGGGACTCCATAACGGTAAGCGAAATTTTGAAAAAAAGGTAAATAAAGTTAGTGAACATTGAATGCGTATTACAGCTAAATCAAGCCACGTCAGATTATAATATAAAAATATATTATTTGAATTTATGTGAACTCACCAATGTTGAATTTTGTTTCTATTCATTAGGATTTAAAATTAATTAAAATATATTATATTAAACCAAGTGTGGCTAGTAGTTACCATAGCAATGTATTACATTTTTAAGAATCTATATCAGGAGTGTTTTATATATATATATATATATATATATATATATATATATATATATATATATATATATATATATATATATATATATATATATATATATTGCACATACGTTATTTTTTGTAAGTATTTACAAACTGCACATTACTGTATGGCGTTAGATGTTAATTGATTCTCCTCTTTAAAAAAACCCAGAATTAACGACAATATTTTAGTCGTTGATTAAGGTTCCTGTCTGATCAAACGAAACGTCAATAGAGATCAATCGAGAGCTGTCTCGGAAAATAAAAACGATCTTAGACTTATGATCAACCAGCCCACCCCAACCCCACCCAACCCCACCCACTGCAAACATCTGACTGCTTAAGTGTGATGAATTATTCATGAAGGCAAAAACAAACTATAACGCATGCTTTTCGAAGCAAATGTTCTTATTCGGTGTCTATGATCGATATATCTTTCTAGTATAAATCGTGTTTGTGTTGTGGACCCATTGCAAAATTTGCCATTGGTTTTAAGGTAAGTTATTTTCTTTTTGAACTTTTATACATTTAAAATATTTATATTTTTCATTGAAAAAGTCGTATGCATAAATATTTGCAAGAGATTTATCTGCTTGGTTCTAAAGTTAAATAATGCGATTTCTAAAGACATGTTTAAGAATCAAAGTGTTTTATTAATGTTGTTAGAATAATGATTATCCATTAGTTACTGAAGTACTGTGTTTTTAAATTTCTTTGCAACTTTCCTTTTCTGTGAGTGTTTTAAAAACTCATTTAAAATATTCAACACATAGAAATTTGATTGATTTATTGGTGAGCCCAGAACGAATTTGTTTAATAATATGTGGATCTAAATTACTAAACAATCTAAATAAAATATTGTTTTTTCATAACTTAAATTTTTAATAATCCTAATTATAAATTACTTGTCAATATAGTTTAAAAAATAGTGAATACAGTAGTATACAATTAAATGTCTTTTTAATCTAATCAGGAAATAACTCAAATAGAGTCCTATTAAAAAGCTTGCACATGTTAGCATGTTGAATACAATCATCTTAGTGTTAGTATTTCGTTCAATAAAAAATAAAATAAACTACTTTGACATTCATGTTTGCATACGATGCACTTCTGTCAACCCAACACACATGTACAGCCTGCTGAAACTATCAGAGATAAAACAGCGATGTTTACTTACATTGTCATTACATTGGCTTCTGTGACTGTACAACAAACAGTACAACAATGTAAGTTTGGTTGTTGTTTTTTTTTTTTTTATTACTTAAAATCAATTTCATTTTTGTGCATCTTTTTTGCTACTTCTGGGTTAAGTAAGCATTCTGATTTATGAAGAAAAAAAAACAAGTAATTTGGTGATAGTTTTTATACTAGGCTCTATTGAACTAGATTTAGTAATTGATATGTAATAGTTAAATAATATTGCATTAATATCAATCTGTTCTTAAAGAGAGATAGAAATACGATTTTTTTTATTTATATTTTTTTTTAAATTTGCATTCATCAGTGAAAGTAGAAGCTTTGCGTCCGTGACAGAAAGCAAGAAATAAATTTTGTCAAGAAAATTTTGATTTAGCGTTTCAATTTCGTTTTATTATAATTATTTATTAATGTAATAATGACCAATATTACAGCTTCTTAATATGATTGAATCGTTTTTAAGTGATTCATTTAATGTGTACTACACAAAATACTGTAATTGTTCTCTGAAAATAGCTTGCATTGTAATTAAGAAAAGTACTCTTACCAAACGTATGGTCCATGGGGCTGGTGAAGTAGACTTCACATATTTCTGTGATGTCTGTATATGAATAGAAAGTGTTGTCGGCACTATGCCCTTACATTCCCAACGTTAGTCAGCTAACGGACTCTGGGCCGGGATACGAACTCGAGACTTTTGGGTTAGCAGTCATCCGCTCTACCATTTGACCAACGCGTTCCATTTTCAGTAAGACTAGGCTATAATTTCCTAGATTTTGAATCTGATCAGAATCAACGCTTCTAAATTTACAGTTACTCAATCAACGACGGGTGTCAAAACAGCCAAATTTCATCAGGTGAAACAGACGAACTTCCAGATGATTCCATTGGATTCCGCTGTTTTCATGAACATTCCCAGCACACTCGCATGTGCTGCGTTGTGTCGAGCTAAAATGTCCTACTGTTTCAGTTTTATCTACAGTAAAACATCAAGAAACTGTAGTCTGGGTAGGTTTTACTTTTATGCAATCACGCATTTTAGTTTTGCTATTTTTTTTAAAAAGTATGTGTTAAAAAGGGCTTGTAAAAACGAAAAGAAGGCGAACTTTAGCTTTAGTAAATTGATAGTTACCTATATCTATGTCATTAAATTGAAGAATGAATTGAAATACTTTCTAGTATTATTGATAAATATAGTACAATAATTTAAACAATAATAAAATCAAGTCATTAACGAATTTAGTCATTTTGATGTCAGTATAAAATAATTTCACAATTTTTAAAAATAAATTCCATTGATTGATATATAAAACCATCAGAGGCGTAGCAAGGGGGGGTGCGGACCGCACCGGAAGACACCATTTAGGGGGTTGACACCAAGGCAAAAAATAGCAAAATATATAGAGAAAAATTTGAGGGGGTGCAAATGGAAAGTTTGAGTGGGGGTGCATATCGAAAATTTGAGTGAGGGATGGGGGGAGGTGCAAATCGAAAGTTTGAGGGTGGGTGCAAATCGAAAATTGAAAGTTTGTCCTCAGGAAGGGTCACTACGCCTCTGGGGGGCGACACCATTAAGTGCCGCACCGGGTGACACCCGACCTCGCTACGCCACTGAAAACCATGCATCTACGTTAGTAGAGCCATCTGATGTATGTGAGAGATGTATTTAATGTTTGTGTCAACCGATTCCACTACAAAGCACAATTCAACATTAATTGTATGTATTTCAGGATCCTGGCTGGTACCAACTGACCAGTACCCGGCCAGTGATGAACTTTTATATACGACTGACCAATATTATCTCAAGGCAGAAAGCGATCAAAGCTTTAAAGTAAAGCTTATGAATAAAAGTAATATTGTAAACCTAGATGGTAAGGAAATATTCAAGTACCTCTTTTATATATATATACATATATATATATATATATATATATATATATATATATATACATATATATATATATATATATATATATATATATATATATATATATATATATATATATACATATATATATGTGTGTGTGAGTGTGTGTGTGTTTGTGAGTGTGAGTGAGTGAGTAAGTGAGTGTCTGTGTATGTTTTTATAGTATTTTCTTTGTTATATTTTGTTATTATGACTTGTTTGTGTTGTGTTTTACTGGTTTACATCTTTCCTGGTGAGTTTTTTTTTTATTGAGCTGAATTAAACATTTTGTTACGTTATTTTTTTTTGTTAGATGATATTTCTTGTCACGATATGTGTTCATTTTTTTTTTATAGTTTTGCTTTCAGAGAGTTCACTAATAATCCTATGTTTAATTTGCGACATCCTTGTTTTTTTTACCTGAGGCAGATTAAACAGGTTTTCAAATTATCTTTTGACCGGAGAGTCTCGTGTTCATATTCACGGGCTTCTGCGCCTATAACGTAGCCGAGCAGTTTCTTCCAGGCATCTCTTCGGGGAGGCGAAGCCCCCCCCCCCCGAAAAAATTCTACCGCCCCAAGCCCCCCCCCCCCCCCCCCACCGAACGAAATGAAATTTATATAATTTATACAGAAAATATATACTTTTAACAGTGTCCGCCCCCCCCCCCCCGAAGAAAGTTTACCCTCCCCCCAAAAAAAATTTCAGTGCTCCCCCGAAGAAAAAAGTCAGGGAGAAACACTGATGCCAAGTCCACCGGGCTCTGATGTGTAAAGGAAAATAAAAGCGGCTGAACATAGGTGATCCTTAGAACTTCTATATTAAATGTGCCAATATATTTTCAGCGAACACCAACTACACATCGTGTATGGAGGTGATCCTTAGAACTTCTATATTAAATGTGCCAATATATTTTCAGCGAACACCAACTACACATCGTGTATGGAGGTGATCCTTAGAACTTCTATATTAAATGTACCAATATATTTTCAGAGAACACCAACTACACATCGTGTATGGAGGTGATCCTTAGAACTTCTATATTAAATGTACCAATATATTTTCAGAGAACACCAACTACACATCGTGTATGGAGGTGATCCTTAGAACTTCTATATTAAATGTACCAATATATTTTCAGCAAAAACCAACTACACATCATGTATGGAGGTGATCCTTAGAACTTATATATTAAATGTACCAATATATTTTCAGAGAACACCAACTACACATCGTGTATGGAGGTGATCCTTAGAACTTCTATATTAAATGTACCAATATATTTTCAGCGAACACCAACTACACATCTTGTATGGAGGAGATCCTTAGAACTTCTATATTAAATGTGCCAATATATTTTCAGAGAACACCAACTACACATCTTGTATGGAGGTGATCCTTAGAACTTCTATATTAAATGTACCAATATATTTTCAGAGAACACCAACTACACATCGTGTATGGAGGTGATCCTTAGAACTTCTATATTAAATGTGCCAATATATTTTCAGAGAACACCAACTACACATCGTGTATGGAGGAGATCCTTAGAACTTCTATATTAAATGTACCAATATATTTTCAGAGAACACCAACTACACATCTTGTATGGAGGTGATCCTTAGAACTTCTATATTAAATGTACCAATATATTTTCAGAGAACACCAACTACACATCGTGTATGGAGGTGATCCTTAGAACTTCTATATTAAATGTACCAATATATTTTCAGCAAACACCAACTACACATCTTGTATGGAGGTGATCCTTAGAACTTCTATATTAAATGTACCAATATATTTTCAGAGAACACAAACTACACATCGTGTATGGAGGTGATCCTTAGAACTTCTATATTAAATGTACCAATATATTTTCAGAGAACACCAACTACACATCGTGTATGGAGGTGATCCTTAGAACTTCTATATTAAATGTACCAATATATTTTCAGAGAACGCCAACTACACATCTTGTATGGAGGTGATCCTTAGAACTTCTATATTAAATGTACCAATATATTTTCAGAGAACGCCAACTACACATCGTGTATGGAGGTGGTCCTTAGAACTTCTATATTAAATGTACCAATATATTTTCAGAGAACACCAACTACACATCGTGTATGGAGGTGATCCTTAGAACTTCTATATTAAATGTACCAATATATTTTCAGAGAACGCCAACTACACATCGTGTATGGAGGTGAGGAACACAACAGAGCCAAGAAAACTTGTCCAACTCACTTCCGGTCAGGTGGTCATGTGTGACACACAGACGGACGGAGGCGGCTGGACCATTTTCCAGCGACGGGTTTCCGGTGCCACGGAATTTTTCCGCAGCTGGAATGATTACAAGGAAGGTTTCGGGGACTACAACGTGGGCAATTTTTACCTCGGGAATGAGAACGTCTACAAGCTAAGCTCAACTGACCCGCACGAGCTGAGGTTTGATCTGACGTATTTAGGGAAGCCATACTACGCGCTCTATTCCTATTTCAAGTTCAACAACGAAACGGATGGCTACAGGCTGCAGTTCTCCAACTACTCCGGCGATGCTGGGGACGCCATGTCAATCAGACACACTGACGCGATGTTTACGACATACGACAAGGACAACAACATAAAAGGAGGGAACTGTGTCCCTAGTTTTAGAGGTTGTTGGTGGTACGCCTTCTGCCATTCTGTTCACCTGAACGGCAACTGGGCCAGTAAAGATTACGGTCTAGGTCTAAACTGGTACAATCTTACAGGTTATTTTGATAGCGTTGAAAAGTCCGAAATGAAATTTCGACCAATCTAAAAAAAACAAGAGATAAAAAAATATGATTATGATTATTTTTTTTATTTTTTTTATTTTTAGCTTATCCTGGAAATCCCATTCACAATGCAAACCAGTTTTGGTAACATCAGTTTAAAAGAAAAGATAATCATTATGTAAAAAGTAAAAATAAATAAATAATACTTGTATGTTTTTATTAAATTAATTTTTAATGTATACCTGAAATAAGAACGAGTTATTATTGTTAACCATCAAATATTTATGTAGTTCTGAGATAATGTACAACTTTAGATTTGACAGTAATAGAGATTTAAAATAAATAAATAAAGGCGGTTTTTAGATTCATGAATAATTCATGCACTTTAAGAAAATCACCTCTTTGATGATTATTTTACAACCAATGACCTAGAAGCTTTCTTGTATTTAAAATTCTTTTGTGAAATACGCTTTACCTGAGACTAAATGACAAACTGTAGAATGTTAAGTACTTTAGTCTTTAAAAAGTACATATAATAGTGTTTCACTAATGTGCTGAAAGAGCAGTCTATCGAATAAAATTTACATTTCTTTGAAAATTAAACGTTGATTAGGAAAGAAAAATCATAGTGATAATATTTTAAGCAAGAGAGTATTAGTACCAGGAAACTCAAAATTAAATGCAAACTCGCTTTCGACGTAAAGATACAATATTAAACTTTGGTCTGTTTAAGTATTACTTTCCAATAGCTTTTAAATTAATATAATGACACATTCCGGGGGATGTGGGGGTATTTGAAAGTTTCGTTGGGGGAGGGGGCGGACATAGTTTTCAGAGGGGGGGGGGAGAGGCGGACACTGGTAAAAGTATATATTTTCTATATAAATTATATTCTGTTCGGCGAGGGGGTTAAAAATTCTTCGGGAGGGTAGAGCTTCCCCAAAGTGATGACTAAGAGAAACTCTGCTTCAGTGGGCTGATTTCAGCGAACACATATTACTGTGTAAATACAAATAACAAAGTGCTATTAAAATTATCAGACCAATCAAGTTGTTAATTAGTGATTTAATGTAGCCTATTCGTCTGTGTAGCTGGATGTGTAATGTGTGGATAAAAAAATGCTTTCAGTCTTAGCTCATGAGGAAGGATAAAAATTAGAATCAATCCATAACGGAATCTGTATTCACGTGTCGATAAGCGTCATCGATTAAGCGCATTCAAGCTGCATGAAGTGTAACTTACTTTTTAATATATATATATATATATATATATATATATATATATATATATATATATATATATATATATATATATATATATATATATATAGGTCTATATATATTCTTTTACAAAGTAATATATTTTTTAAAATGTGAATCCTATCATAAAAATAAATTTCTTTAGAAATAATTTTCTAATCCATTAATTAAGATTTTTTTTTCCGCGTTCCTTTTTTTAAGTAGCATTTTTTCTTCCCACTTTGAAGAAAACTACTCATGGATTTATGGCTCCCATAAACCAGCTTTCTAGATCGATCACTCTTTTTTTTTTTGGAGCCAGGAAAAAATGTGTCAGGAAAATGGTATAAATTATTCAATTACCGGATCACATCAGGACATGCTTTTAGGCATACTCAATTTTGTCAATAGCAAACCCATTTCACTCGATAAAAAAATATACACACAATTCAAGTTAATTCTTACTCCATTAAACAAAAATAAAAAGGACGATATTATTTTCGATAAAAGCAGTTGGATCGTTGAAATAAATCATTAACGTGGTGTAACAAAAAAAAAAACAGTAGAGGCAAGGTGAATATATTTTCTATAGATTTACATGAAAACCCGTGTGTAGCTGGTTGAATATCGTATCTTGAAATGATGAAACACCACGGATTCTATATCTGTAGAGTATGGTTTGTACATTATAAGTAAAAAAATTTCTAATAATATTTAGAATACAGTTGTGTTGTATAATAGACTTAATCGACTCTCATAAGATCAATATAAAATTAATATGTAGTATTGGATTATAAAAGTGTAGTCAGAGTTTTAAGTACATACTAGACTAACCCGGTCATCCCTTGGATAACTGTGGGTTCCGGGGGTCATCCGTAAATGACATCACGTCTGTCACTTATCATCACAAAATAACTAGACCCCACATTCAAAAAGGCGTCACACCTCAGAGGTTTTTGTCTTTTAAAAACACTGATTTCGTCTGAGCAATGGACTGACAACATAATCTATTCATATGCTGAGGTCACAAAAACAGGTCAACTCTACTTCACCAGCCCAGTGTCCTCCCAACTCAGACATGTTTTTGTCTTTGAAAACACAGATTTTGGCTGAGCAAGGGTCTGACCAAACTATCTCTTCATATGCTGACGTCACAGTTGAACTTTACACCTACCAAACACTACTTCACCTGCCCAATGTTCCGCCAAGTCTCAAACAACATGTTTTATCTTTAAAAAAAATTCAGCCGAGCATGGCTCTGACCATATTATCCACTTTATATACTGAGGACAAAAAAAAAGGGGAACTCTACTTCACCTGCCCTTTATCCCGCTAAGTTCCAATAGGCAGAGGCAATTTAATCATTCACAACAAAAAAACAAAAATTAAAACATAAATTAACATTGACATATCTCGAAACCGTGCCACCCAAATGGCAACCTAATATGCTAACCTCTTAGCTATCTAGGCTCGTACTCTAGAGTCGGTAATAACTTATATATTTTACTTTTAGTCTGCGTAAGAATCTAAGCGAATCGGCCTTAGAATTAGATCTAGAATTATCTCAATTAAATTTTATCTTAAATTGGCCAATTGTACAGCTAAACAAACAAAGATTTATATAAACTAATTAAGGCCTGAAATAGATTCTTGATGTAGAATTTACATTAAGTCTAGATCTAGAATTTACGTTAAGTCTAACGACCTAGATCTAGACTTTTAGATCTAGATCTAGATCTAGATTCATAACTTTTTCTTCCTTCGACAGCTGATCTGTAGATATAGAGAAATTTATTGTAAAACTAAATGAAAAAGACAGTTGAAAATTGATATAAGTGTTGGAACGTAATAAATACAGCAAACGAACGTATTGTTAAATTTATAGCCGAGAGAAAATTAGCTTTAGAACGCGTTAAACATTGGAATGGGAACACAATCTTCTTGGATAGAAGCCGCCGTTGTTGATGTAAAAAGTAAACAAACCATGTGACGTCACTATTCAGTCAAAGTAAAGCCACTGTTTGATACTTTTATAATTAATGTGGTTAATCTACCAATGAATAAATCAATAAATTAGTTAACGTCTTTAAATAAATTTGTGATTAACAGTCTGTCTGAAAACAAAAATTGTTCTCTTCATACATACTATTTTACAGCTCTTCACATAGTGCAGTTTCTCTCCAGTAGCCAATCAGACAAACAAACAAATAAATATTCAAACATGTAAACAAACTTGAGTTTTAGTAGTATAAAGATTATTCTTCTACTCTTAACCTATTGATGATCAATTTGTAATACAGAAAGTAATTCTAATCATAAATAAGATATTTTTTCTATCAGGCAAGTATGATCATCGTTAATAAATGGTATATAAAGTTATTTTTAACATATGATCAACAAGTGCTCATACTGGGTCGTAAAATCAGATAAAAAGGAATCACTCTAGGTATTCAATCAGTAACCTTTAGTAGACGCTTAGGATAAGGAACCAGGGTTTTAATTCATTTTTAAAAATAATTTAACTTTTGTTTTTACTTCAGAATCTTGGTTAATAGGCCTACAAGCTGACCAGTCTCCTACTATAGTGGATCGCTGCTCTTCTTGCCTCATAAATATTACTTAAAACATGGTGTACGATCTTAGCAATATAATCAAACTCAAAGAGTGATTGAAAAGGACAACGAAACAGTCGGGATTATTTGTGTAGATTAACTTAAGTAAACATAAAATATTGGCGCATAGTTATGTAACTCTTACATTTGGAAACAATTTCTTTTTCCTAATAAAATAAATATGTAAAAGTAATTATTCTTAATTCTTATCATTATGTATAACCGTTGACATATTGTTATACTTGAAAAATTTCAAAAACAGTTTCAGTAAAGGCGTTTTACTACTCTTGATGAAAATTACTTTAGATTCGTTTAAAGTGCTCTTTTCTTTAAGGGTTAATGAATTATTCATGAACGTTTAGACATTGAAAACTTCGTGTGTTGTTCAGTTAGCATTTATAACTTACAGATTACAAGACATTACAACAAATGCTTGAACGGTATGTTTATTCTTTTGTTTAAAATGTTCTAATTGGTAATGACTGAAAAGCGACTGATAATGTTTTGTAGTTCTTTTTATTTTTATATTAAAGAATGTTACATGCAGAGCTCTAAAATTATGAAACGATTATTACACGAAAGATGTTGCGGTGTTTTCACTGAGTTTGTTTTGAGAGGTAAAAATAAAAAAATTCTCAACATGTAAAAGTTTCAGCAAAGCCAAAACAAAATCATAGTTTAGCTAAAAGCACATCTCAATAGAACATTGAGTTCGATTCATTTAAAAAGGAAAGTTGGATAGTATACACCATAATTTATAGTGTTGTTTTAACATTATTAAAAATAAAGGTAGTTTATATAGCGGTAGAGAGCTAGAGCGCTAAGCCGAGAGTGCTAAGCCGAGAGTGTCGAGTTTGAATCCGGGTTCGAATCAGTGGAACGTTGCTAAGTCCTCCCAGCTCTGATGGGTACCTAATTCATGTTAGGGAAACAAAGGCGGCTGGGCATATTAATGAACACGCTATCCCTTCATATGCCGAGGTCTTTGAAACAGATGAACTCTACTTTATCTGCCCAACTTGTCTTATATATATTTTTTATGACACCCCTTGGCGTTCTTCTGCCACCTCACAAAATATTAAGAGGGGTCGTTAGACCGAATTTTTTTTCGTAATAAAGCTCAAATAAGGAGAATTTCACTCGC